CATGGCCAGGCGACCCCGATTGTATTGCAGCATAAGTGACGCCTCCAGATGATCTCCCAGTAAACTCGTCTGCTGTGAGTTGAAAGAAGCTTGTACAAGCGAGAACACTCTCTCTGCTGGGGCAGAGGATGGAAGCAATGCAAAGACAATCTTTGCTGCCAGCTGCCATGCTGGAAGGTGGGTTTGCTGTGCCCACCATTTCAAACGCGGGGCATCTTCACTGATCACTGCGTCCACAGCCGCAACAGCGTATGCAGGAAGCTCTTCTGTCAGCTGCGCCATGATTTCATCGGAGTCGAGAGCAGGAACAACACGTAGGGCTGCTACATCGTCCACTTGCAGGTCGAGCCCTCTCGCTATCTGTGGGCAGAGAATACGCACGGCTTTGAAGAGCTGCACTTCCTTGAACATTGGCGTGTCTTGTTTGTTGAACTTGGTTCTGAAATACTGGACAGCAGGTGCAACACAGGCCTTAGCAAGGGTTAGCAGTGCTTGCTTCTCCACTGCGTTCTGCCCAGCAAGCTCTGCAGCGACTGCAGCTGTTTCCGGGTAGTCCTGTAAGGCCATAGCGGTGCAAATCTCTTGCAGGTGACGATAAGCCTGGACGATGAGCTCACCATCACCCTCCAAGAGGTAGGTCTTCTTGACAAGGAGCTTCCCAACGTCAACAGTGATGGCCAACTGCAGACGGAGCACTTTGAGTTGCTCGGGATCATCAAGGATTCTGCGGGCATTGGCAGAAGTGGTTGGGCTGCTTTCCAGGGCGTCCAGGAATGGAATGACGTGCTCAAAGCATCGATGCAGTTGATGAAGCACCTCCCACCAGCTCCACCACCGTGTGCACGAGTATGTCTTGATGCTCTCTTTGGTTAGCGTCTTCCATTGAATTCTGGATGCAGGGCTGTGTGAAAACAGGGACACCCACAGGCGTAGAAAGGAGTCCAGGAGATCTGTGTCAAAATGCCAGCCAATGTTGTCCAGAGAATGAGCCACACAGACGAGATCGGATATGTTCGGGTACACGAAGTCGGTGAGATACCCAACTGCTGCCCTGTTGACCGAAGCACCATCCCGGATGGTGGAAATCACCCTTGCCGGTGGGTATTGGAGGCCTGTCGAGAGGGTAACGATGACTTCCCTGGCAAGTTGCTTGCCCGTCATGCTCTTCGCCAGGACATGCACGCGGACGAGGCGCTGGCAGATCTGGAAGTTCTCGTTTACGTAGCGTAGAAGGATTACCAACATTTCGCCTTGGTACGTGCTCCCATCAAATATAATGCTTATGTAAGGCTTCTCCTTCAGCTCATCCTTTAGCGTGGCCTGCTCGTTCTCCAGTATGAATGGTACATATGAGGCGAGATGAGTGGAGTAGTTCAAGCGGTCCGAATCTTCCTCCAGCAGTGGGCGGAGGATGTCTACTTTGGCAAGAGGGATGCCAGCCTTCATCATTGCCGTTGTTGTTTCAATCCTCCGCATTCTTTGCTGAGCTGGCACGGCAGCAGTCAACCCAGTCCCTGCAAGGTCGTGGCGCTTTACGTATGCCTCCCAACTCTGGGCAAGTCGCTGCTGTCGAATACCCTGTTGCCGTTGCCTTTCTTTTCCTGCCTCGTGTTTATCACTTCCGACATGATCCTTCACAATGCTCTTCTTCAGGGCAAGTGTACTCTTGCAGGCTTCGCAGTATAATTTACCGGATGAGACGACGAGCATCTCGTCTGGGAATTCCTCCACTCGCTGGTGTGGGCTAACATTCACTTTTGTGCTGCCGCCTAGCGACACCCGGGTTCTCTTTGCCCCTGAGGCAACCACATCCTTTTTTGCGGACGTCCGTTTCATAGACCTTACACGGGAGATTTCAGCTTCCTCCGTTATGTCCAGGCTTTGCCACTCTTCGCCAGACTGGCCTTCCGTGTCCACTGGTGTATCATCTTCGTCGTCAAGAATATCAACAATTATAAGATCTTCTTCGGCGGAATCGAAGTCGGCTGATCTGTCACGTACATCACCGAATTCCGCCATTGCCGCACACAGAGCATATCAGGGTCGCAGGTCAAGACACTAAATTACCAGCCCACAATTCAACATCCAGGCAATGGTAATGAACTAAAGTACAACAAAAAGTAAAACATTAATATCCCTTTACAGTAGAACGTCGATTATCCCGCGATCCGGCCTTTCCATTTCTGAAGGCACCAGCCAAAATTTGGGCTAAAATGGCATGTAACGATTCACAAGGTGTTGGAAAACTCCTCTATAGAGCTTATGCATACCCGTCACGTGGTCATGAACAACGACCAAAAATGTCCAAGTACAGTGAGTCTGAGCTGAGGCGAATCTTCGAACGTCCAGGGAGCCATACACGAGACCGTCCTGATTACCAAGGACTCCCAAATAGGCACCAAAACTGCAAAAGGTCCGATACCGAAGCTGAGTGGCATGACGTCACGTCGACGTGCATAAGCTCTGCGTACTGAGAACTACAGTGCTCCGTTCTGCTCGTCTAGTGCTCGTCTAGTGCTCGTCTAGTGCTCGGTTCTGCTCGTCTACCGCTCTGCTCGTTTAGTGCTCGGTTCTCAGCTCGTCTACATTTGTAGTGCTCGGTTCTGCTCGTCTCATGCTCCGTTCTGCTCGTCTGGTGCTCCGTCTGCTCGTCTGGTGCTCCGTTCTGCCCGCCAATTGCCTCATTCTGCCGCATTCTGCTCCGATTTTGAAACCCCTGATTCTGCTCGAAATTCTGCCGGCATTATGCGCCGGGGCCTAACAACAACACTATTGTTGTAAATATTGTCTATGCCTATGCTCCACTTCCGTTCTTCAGAACGACGTGCTGGTGTCCGACGGCCTTTCATGACGTGGATTAGACAGCGCAGTTCTTTTCCGTTGAAATATGTTTCAGGAAAGCTGCAGTGACTGACAACTTCTTCACTAGAAGATGAAGATAATGTCAAATGATTTTGTGTCGATCCAGTGTTTTGATGATCCGTTGTATATGACCGGTACGACCACCTATGTTTCGTTGATGCAAATAAAAATGTGCAAACAATATTCAGCATGCGATTTCAAGCATTTTGACATACATATCAGTGCATGGGGCTGCATTTGGATAATTAGAAGTTCCGGATAATTCGAAGTTAGGGCCTGGCAATTTGAGGTTCGAATTAAAGGGAGTCTACCTGTACTATTATACAGTCAGAAAGTGCAACAACTAGGCACAAAACTGACAGAGTACTGAGACATTCGACGTTCTGACACCTAGCTTCAACACATCTCCGTAGTAGCGCTAACCGACAGCCTTCCAACTCGGAAGGTTCAAGGTTATGGAGAGACCAAAGAGGGGAAGGTAAGCGCAACGAAAACGAGCACAAGCTACAGTCCCAACGGCACAACGAATGTCTGTTGATCGCAATTCTGAAATCTATAAAGAGAAGACTGTAAGTTTACATGTTGTCCGTTTGGTCCTGTCTTTTGAATTTTAGTCCTTGGCTCTCCATTTCTCTACACGCAAAGACTCCACTGTAGCCACTCACTATAGCCATGCATTTTCACGACACTCCAAACGCTCTCTGGACTACACTAATCACTGGAAGAACATTATATTAATTCGAATTTTCGAGCAATGCCCATCTTCATCTTCTTGGCTCTCCATCCAAGTCTATATTAAAATACAGCCAGACCTCGCTTAGCCGGTCCTCTTTTATCCGGATCCCTCGCCGTCCGGAAGAATATCGTCCGTTACCGATTTACAGCATATGTCATGCATACATACAGTATGTAGTATTATTATAAGCACTATCGCGATGTAAGTGGGGATGCCTACTTCACTTGTGCCATTCAGGATGATGATAAAGAGAAAGACAAACAGAAAGCTCAGAATCTTGAGGAACAATGCTGTAGAGCAGAATAGGTGTGATCGATTGGATGCACTGCAGAAAGGTGAAAATTATTAGTTCATTGATAATAGCTGGTGAGTTGTCTCGTCATTTCTGAATATTCGGTCTGGAGTGGTTTGAACAGTTTGGTTCTAGCAAGTTGCCTTCACTCAGGGTGCGCCAGCCTTTTCTGTCTTGGGCTCTGGTGCGCCAGGTCTCAAGATCGGTCTGCGTCCGGGTGGGGATACCATGGCTGGTCAGGTCGGCGATGACAGTGGTTGCAAGGGTGGTACGCGGCCGGCCGCGGAAGCGTTGTGCAACCGGGTCACTGGCCCGGCAGAAGTACGCACCCATAGCGAGTTGTGCCGGGGTGTCGACTGGTGAGCGCAGAACGTGCCCGAGGAGTCCGATCCGCAGGCGGTTGATGGTGACGCTTAATGGCTGGGTTCATACAGTATGTGTGTTCGATTATCCGGTTCCCCCGCCTGTCCGCATATCTTTGTGCAAAGCAGATGTGTGCGGTTATGCGAGGTGTGGCTGTAATAATTGATTATGAATTTTTCCCTTCGCCACTTTTCTGCTATCGTCTATGTCAATGTTCACCTAGCTGTGCAATGTCAAGCACCACCGGAGCTAGCATCGCCTCTGGGCACCCTTCCTGGTCAATACCTGTACAACTCTACAATGTACGGGGCAGTGGCAACGCTGGCATGCTCGGCAGGCTATCAGCTACGGTACGACGACAGCACCGCCACCGCCGCAGCAAGCAGGTCCAGAGTGATCACTTGCCAGGCGAACGGCCGCTGGTCGAACGGCACGGCCACATGTGACGGTAAGTGGGGACAGCGTGAGTCGGCAAGAGTGAATCGGCACGCAGTGTCTGCTCCAGATCCGGGTCAGCGACCCGGTTTGGGGTGGTGCAGGGGCGGGTCCAGGAGGGGTTCGGTAGAACCCCCTAAACCATGTGGATTCACAGGATGCGCGAGTTTCGAAGTCTGAAGAAGATGTTGAGCCGGTCTCTGCTGGGATGACAGCTACACCTTTAGCTGCTCAGTGGTAGAGTATCGGCAGCCATAAGCGAGGGTCCCTGGTTCGAGTCCTGGTGGTGTCAGCCAATTATTTCTTCAGGCTTTACCTATCTTTTAAAAACTCTCTCAGACTTACATGACTATGAATAATTCAAGTATTCGTCTAGTTTAATATTTTGCAGTTTAACATGTTGCTGTACACTTTGTTGTGTGTGTGTTGTGTGTTTCAGGAGTGGGCCCAGACCTTTACCTCACCCTTCCGCCTGGAAATGACACAGAGGCCGTGCAGTTTGTGTATGGCCTGTGCGTGTGGGATGCCAACGACGAGCGTCTACGTGACGTGACCTCGTCCGGAGCTCACTCGGCCAGCAAGACGGCGTTCCCGATTCTCTTCAAGCGGATGCCCCCGGGCTACTACGTGGTGCGTATCGAGGACGTCGTTCCGAAACAGACGCGTTCGAGCACGCGTATCATGTATGGGATTGAGCACAACACGACCGAGGACATTCCCAGTATACCTAGCGTGGACAACATGTGGCGAAGTTTGGCACCACCGACGAAAAATGAAATCTATGTTATCAAGATGCATCCGAACCCGTTGCAGTACGACATGATCAGGTTCCGTCTTCACAACCCGATCTCCAACAGGACCAAGACCATTGAAACGCGCATGAGCTCACACAGCGTGGCGGTGCCAGTCGCCGAGATTGGAATGACGCCGTCACTGTACACCTACGAATACTGGAAGAACGCAGATTCACAAGTGGTCTCCCTGCCATCCATGACTCTTGCATTCATACCAGGTATGGAAATAGATACTTGGTCATTCTATTTTTTATGATAAGCTACATTCTTTGAAGTCAAGCACTCAAGCAAAGTAAAAAGAAAAGAAAAAAGCAGCGATTCGGAACATCCCATGGAGATACGGTTTATGCAAATTGTCTGCGCGTTCAATTTTCGGCCTCCCAGGGCTAAAACACATTTCGTCCACATCACGTTTTCGGCATGTACTGCTGCTTCCTGTATACACTGTCACACTGAACCCTGCAAAACAACACTTCGGCCGCAACAAATTTTTCGGCCAAAAATGCCCAGGCCGGAAAAAGTCGGAAAATAAATCTGCTCCGCATATTTTATGGACTTAGGGGGTGATTATATGTGCAGCTCCAGCCAGGGCTGGTCGACAGGCGGGCCAGCCCGCCTGCAACGGGATCTCGGGGTTGTACACAAATCCACACAAAACCTGTGGTGCGTTTACATGGCAAGCGGGCTGGCCCGGCGAGGCGGGATCCCGCCTCGAGGCACCCGGGATCCCGGCTAGGCGGGCCAGAAAAGCACATATAAACAGACCAGCCCGGGCCAGAGTTGTATTATTATGGTGTCGACACTGCGTCCATACTACAAAATAGGTACTTTTACCTTTTGAGGGAAGTTATAAAGAGGATTCCCGATATTGTCTTGAAAATCTATGAAGCTTTTTGTACACCAACAAGAAGGACGTGCAGTGAGCACTGTTTATTTGTCGACATGCATGATTTACATTAAAATGGAAGGGGAACTACTTGCAAAATACTTTGATATGGACAGCTAAAAATGTGAAAAACAGGAAAAAGAAACGAGGTGATACAACACACGAAGCATGTGCCACAGCGCGAAAAGAAATCAGCAGAAGAATACATTGTGTGAGAAAAAAAGTTTTTAGGTTTATAACCTGAGTATGGCTTGCAGCCCTGCGTTTCAGCCCGGGGCAGCACACTACAGTCGTAGTGTGTTCGCTGCATACTCACAACGGGCTGGTGTGTGCTCCGCGCATATAAACTCACCGCGGGCTGGCGACCAGCCCGCCTTGCACATGTAAACAGACTTGGCGGGCTGGCCCGCTCGCTCCAGCCCGGGCTGGACTTGCACATATAATAGGCCCCTTAGAGTACTTAGTTGCTGTGCACACTTCTCCACCTTTCCTGGTTGAATGCATTTAGAATCAACTCGTAAAAACTCCAAGTCAATCTCCAATTGACACAAACCTCGTTTATTCAACATAATCATATCCTATTATTACATGGTGCGACAGAGCTCTCGGCCATTGAAGAAAATGTTGAGTCACCTCCACCATTAAACTGCGCTCTTTAGCCGACTAGACCCTCCTGCACACAACCATCACCATTGCGAGGACACTTCCGTAGACGATACTGATAAAGTCCTTCAGACAGCTGTTTCGCTAATACATAGCTCGTCAGTGAAGGTAGATGTTGAATGATTAAAAAATATAGACCAAACTGCTATTATAGGGTGCGTTCTTATATTCTCTAGCTTCTAGAAGAAGAAGAAGAAAAGAGAAGTCGAAGAAACTGGGATTACTCAAGAACGGGTCTCGAAGAATTCAGAGATATTTTGCACATGTCAAGCAAAATGAAGCGTCAAAGGGGCCGCGATCTTGAGTGATGAATGTATGTGCGTATGCGAAAAGGGAAATGCGTACACTCATGATGAACACGTGGCTTTTAGTCGTAGTTCGCATGCGCTGATCCCAAACTGCGGGAATCTCCAAGTTTCAACTACCTCTGAAGCTTGGAGAGCTTTGGAGAGCCTCCTAAAAGTCGGAGAGGATATAAGAACAGCTCTCGAACTTTTCGGAGAGTCTCCAACTTTTCCGAGAGGATTTAAGAACGCACCCCAAGAGAGCTAGCTCCCTTGGCTGCTGTTGGAATATGCAAGAATGGGCCTTCCAGATAAGGTCTAACAAGAAGAAGTGGCTATAGTTATGAAAAGAACACCGGTAACCATCTAGACAGACCACACTCTCATAATAGATACTGGTTATAAATAGACCGAATAAGGAAAATGATCTGATAGCCTATGAAGAGTAAGGGGCCATCCGTAAATATAGATATTTATTCCCGTAACTATCCAGAAGACGTTACTTCAGTAACGTCTGGCGCTAGCCAGGGTCCACACAGCTTTAATTTGGTGTTTGTTTGTTTGTTTGTGTCACGCCTGGCGCTATCCCGTATCTGTCCCGTACCGTACCGTACCATTAAACACAGCTGGCCAAATACAGCTGGCCGCAATATTGATTGATTGATTGATTTTTATTTCACGGATCCTCCAGAGGCAAATAGATGGCTATCGAAGGGAGTCTCCTAAGTATGGAAAATGAGAAAGTATGTTCGTAAGGGAGAAGAGGTAGAAGATACATTAGAATATAGAGTACAGAAGAAGTAAATTCAGTACTTCGGGTAGTACATTGCATGCTAATCATAATGAGAATTAGAAAAGTAGCATTGCGGACTACTATAACTGACATATACACAAACTATTGAAACTATCATACATGTGGCTACTACACCACTGGTTAGCCTAGACACAAAAGTCAGGAATACCTTTCAAAGAAAACATAGATTGCGAATGATACCGACGAACAGCAATACTAAATTTCGCTGTTGTAGAGAGTGAACGAATATCTTCAGGAAGTTTTTTCCAGGCAACACTCAAAGAAAAAAGAGTTGATTTACGAAAGTACAGTTGTGGCAAGTGAAATCCGACACTTGGCATAAGGGACTGCACCGTGCATCCTGCAGCCTCTGCAGCCCTGCATACGTACAGTACATGTGTTGCATACAACTTTATCTGTCTGATGACAGAATTCGTACTCATCACAGTCAAGGTTCAAAAGGTGCTGGCAAATATGAATGGGAATTGGATACCAATACTCCTGATGTGTACCATGTTTGTGAGCTGTGTGTATCTAAGCTGTGACCTTTCGACCTGTTTGGGATGCATACGGCTCTATAGTACCAATTACTGAGTAGGTGCAGTGCATTACATCATTGATGTCCATTTGAGGCGCTGTCCCCTATGGCAAGTGTCGGATTTCACTTGCCACAACTGTAGGTGCCAGCTTTAGGAAGAATTATGGATGAAGGGTGACGACTGCTTTGGGAAGAGGGTAGCTGGAAGTGAGACAACAAGGAGGGGTATTGGGAGAATACATGGTGGAAATAGACAAGGCCAAGAATCTGCCGTCGCCATGCTAAAGATTCCCAAGAGGACAGAACATTGAGGTCTTCTTTGGAAGTCGTCCAGTCAGGCCGACGCTTGAGTTTACTATTTATCCCTCCAAATAGGGCTTTCAACCGCAAGATCATAACGTGAAGCAACTTGGAAGAATGAGTATGAATGCGAAGTGTATGGGGGAATGCATGTAGGGCGATAGTGCGGGTTCGAATCCCAGGTAATGCCTGAAAATAAATAGGAGAATTGAAAAATTTATAACATCCCTATTCTTTTTTTGCCGTCATCAAGGCGGAAGACGGTGTCGTATTACCCTCGACCGTACCTGTTCCGTACCTGTCCCGTACCGTACAATCAAAGACGGCTGGCCACAATGCATATTCAAATAGGGCTTTCAAATACAAGATCATAACGTGAAGCAACTTGGAAGAATTAGTATGTATGCGAAGTGTATCGGGGGATGCATGCAGGGCGATAGTGCTGGTTCGAATCCCAGGTTATGTCTAAAAACAAGAAGTAGAAATTTAGAAGAATTTATAACATCCCTATGCTCTTTTTGTCTAGGTCATCAAGGCAAAAAAGCATAGCGTAGGGCCCTGAGCTTCCAAGCTCTCTCGTTTAGAAACGAAAACTAGTCGTTTAGGGGGAGGTTGAGCGCCTGTTCGTTTCTCAAAAATATCGATGTACATTTTGCATGCGTGAGCATGTTCAGAAAAAAAGACCAAAAATATCGATATACTATGTAGCATTTGTATGTGTTCGTTTCTCAGGAGGGGGTTGAAGAGAAACGACTAGTTTTCGTTTCTAAATAAATATCGGTATTTACGGAAGGTCCCTAAAAGAAATTGAACCAATGACAACAAATACTCGTCCAGCACACGAGTTGTCATAGAAACACAAATAACAGCTGTCCACTAATTTTTGTTGTTGGAGATTGAGTAGGAGTTTTTACTGGTTGATTCTAAATACAATAAATGCTCCGGCCTTGGGTTTATGACCAATAAAAACCCTCGGCCTCCTCATTTATTGTATACTTAATTGTTTTTGTTGTTATCATGCAGCTTCACTGCCAAACGACACCAAGGACGCTGCGAATACTACGACTCCTCCATCTCAAGCACTCACAGGCCTTATACAAACCACCCATGCCCCTTCCACCCCGGCTCCCAGCAAGAAGAACGTAACGGCTGCCACCAAACAACCTTCAGCTTTTCCACCCGTCACGGACTCGACTAGCACTGCGTCCGCCTCCCACCCCCCTATCCCACACGGCAATCTACCTACCTTCCAGCCTGGCCCGCAGACAATGTCCGCCATTATGAATAGTACTATCACCAAAACTACACGCAGCCCAACATTCCCTCCCGCCTCGGCAACGCCGTTTCTAGGTAGGTGGAATCGACAGTACATCATCCTCTCTGCCCCCGCCCCCGAGTGTGTGTGTGTGTGTGTGTGTGTGTGTGTGTGTGTGTGTGTGTGTGTGTGTGTGTGTGTGTGTGTGTGTGTGTGTGTGAGAGAGAGAGAGAGAGAAACAGAGAGAGAGAGAAACACAGAGAGAGAGAGAGAGAGAGAGAGGAGAGAGAGAGAGAGAGAGAGAGAGAGAGAGAGAGAGAGAGAGAGAGAGAGAGAGAGAGAGAGAGAGAGAGAGAGAGAGAGAGAGAGAGAGAGGGAGAGAGAGAGAGAGACAGAAAGAGAAGGAGAAAGTTGAGAGAGAAGAGAGGATGACTTTGAGCTACGTCCACACGACACAAACTCGTGTTATGCAAGCCCAAGCATTTGTCTCTCGCTCGCCACTCTGTTCAGCTTCGTGTCGTGATGTGATAGGGACACCACATTTTGTTTGTGTGTGTGCTTGCGTGCATGTGCGTGTGTGTGCGCATGTGTACGTGTGTTTGTGTGTGTGTGTGTGTATGTGTTTGTGTGTACGTGTGCGTATGTACGTGTGTGTGTTTTTGTTTGTTTGTGTGGGGTGGTGCGGTGTGCGTGCGTATTTGCTTGGGAGAGTGGGTGCATGTGTGAGTCCACATTCATGCGTGTCTGTAGGCACGTACACGTGTGTGTAGGTGTGCGTGCGTGCAGGCGTACGTGCATGCATGCGTGCATGTGTATAACATGTCTGTGTGGGTTGCTGTCTGATTATCGGCAAAACCATGAAGCTCAGAGTAACAGTAGAAACGCATTGTTTGTTTCTTTTTTTTGGTGTAAATGCCCGTGCATGTTATGTCGACATGGGCGTGTGTGTGCGCATGTGTGTGTGTGTGTATGTGCGCACGTGTGTGTTTGTGTGTACGTGTGTGTACGTGTGTGTACGCGTGTGTGTGTGTAACGTGAACATGCTCGCGTATATGTACGTGTATGTGTATATCTTGTAGAAAAGCAGTCACTGTTCTCGTCCAGCTCCCTGTACATATTAGTAGGCGGTGGGGTGGGTGCTCTGCTGCTTCTTGCCATGATCTGGTTCTTTTACCGAAGGCGCACGACAAAGAAGTAAGTCTGCAAAGTGTGTGCGTTTGTGTGTGTGTGTGTGCGCGTGCGTGCGTGTGTACCGTTGCATCTGTTTCTTGATGCTTGTTTTCACATGAGATGCGGAGTACTGCATGTCAGCAAATCAACTAATCTTCGCTGGCGATATAATTTCGCTGATTTCGCCGCTTGTTACAACCGGCCAAAGTAAATCACAGGCCAAAGTTTGTCAAAGAGGCAAATGGTGCGTAATTGAGCCATGGCTGCATCTTAGAGCAACACATACCGATCCATTTCTTTTTTGAAAACCCCAATCGGCCAAAGTTACGGCCAAAAGTTTCATTTCGAGATCGGCCAAAGTTTCTCACCAGCCAAATTTTTTGTTGGATACAGTATGTGAAATCTGACACTTGCCACAAGCAGCAGCACCATACGGTGTGCAGCCTCTGCCTACCCAGAGCATACGTTACATACAACTTGTTTGGGTCTACCGCAGTACATTGTACTCATACTCATCACAGACTGTGTGGCCTTCGCTGAAAGGTTCAAGAGCTTTCCCAAATATGAATGTGGCGTTGGATGTCGGTTCTACTGTGCACTGTAAAGTGAGAAACTTTCGCTAGAGATTACTGTAACTTGAGAAATTTTCGGTGTACTTTATTTTCGGCACTTTCGGTGCATCTGTTTCACACCTAAAATTTCACATAATACACCGAAAAACCCAAAAATTGTTGCGGCCGAAATTTAAAATAGTTTTGTGTGTTATCTTACTGTGCACTGTTCGCAGAGTCATCCAAGACCCGTCCCTACCGAGCCGCTTGGCCAGAAGTTCCAAGAACGACTACGGCGATGGAAAGCCTATGAATACCTATGAATGCTACGATTCCAATCCACCGACTGGCATGTAAGGCTGTCCTAGTGTTGAAAGAAGCGTATCTATAACAAACGAGCAAACGGCTTCACTAACTAGCGAGTTAATGAGTTTTGCTGACGTGGCAAAGATGTTATTCTTATATTTTTTCAAATTGACCAATGCCTCGAATTTTCACCGCTGGTGCTAAGGATGCTGCTGTTTTCGACTGGCTTCACTTCGGGCGGGTGTTTGGAGTTGAGATGTCTTTTCAACGCCTTCGTTGAGCAACCATAGTGAGAATACACCGTTTTGCAACGAGTGAAAGTAGCCTTGTTCTTTGCCACATTGCGCGAAAAAAACTAACTTACTTCCAAACGACTAAAGCGTGACTTTTCACACGAACGGAGAGGTCACTAGATGCATTGCCTGTACTGTAATGTGCATGCCGCAACGTATACGGTGGTCGTTAGTGCAAACGAGCCGAGTTTCTGGCCAGCGAGCTAACTAGTACCCGGTGAGATCCTTTCAACACTAGACCCTGCCACACATGGGTACGCATATCTGCACACGCACACACATGCAACTGCACGCACACAGACACGGACACACGCTCTCTCTCACAAACACACACACACGCGCGCCTCCCCACCCCAAAAACCCGACACCGGCATAGATACACACATTTAGACTTAGAGTATTGCTGCGGAAGGGGAAATAAAATACGAAATAAAATTACAAAAAAACACGGTTTATGTCAGCCTTGGTTAGACAGATTGTTCACATTCGTGGGAACGTCACGTAGCCAGCCTTAAGGATCAAGGCGCAGATGCAGCTCCTAAAGCGGCGGGACGTCAGTAGAAAGTGGTCAAAGACCGAAAACCTATTCGCTGGATCTTTTTTTAAGTACAAACATTTCGCCGAGCGCGACAGTATGGTTCTTCCACTTGATTTCATTATCCGTACCCTTGTAAACACTTCAATATATATATATTTAAATATGGGCGAATGATTTCTTGAGTTACGCATGTGCGTGCGTGCGTGTGTGAATGTGTGTGTGTGTGTGTGTATTTGTGTGTGTGTGTGTGTGTATTTGTGGGTGTGGGTGTGTGTGTGTGTGTGTGTGTGTGTGCGCGCGCGCGTGCGTGTGTGTATTAGTGTGTGCACTCACACACGAATGCTCGCAGGACAGGATTTGCTATCCTATCTGCAGTATGCGGAGTGCATCTTTACATGTACGCTCTTGCTTGTCTAAGCATGCATTAAATTTGTCTGTTGTTATCAACCGTCATGGTAGTATCAATGCTGCAAGTTGAAATGGTTTTTTGTGCATTGTTGCTGCTGCTGCTCTTGTTGCTGTTGTTGCTGGCGCTGCTACTGTTGTGTACTGCTCAGAGCGAAGACACGCAGCAGTGCCGAGTCGGAGTTCAGCACCGCCACGTGCTCCTTGCAGGACTCCAAGGCCATGTCGCGCACGACCATAGTGGCAATGGCAGACACCATCGCCAGTCCCATGCTGAGGGCGCTGCGACGTAACCGCAGCTCCGTGTTCAGTAGTGACGACGACGGCCATGAGAAGTTTCCAGCGTCGGGTTACGACAATGGCTCGTTAGGCTCTACGACCAAGATGCAGTTACGACGCCAGGACACCGAGGTAGCCATGATGGAAATCTCGGATACGTACGAGATCGTCGAGGAGACCGCGTCGCACAGCATCGACCAGCAGAAGGCCTGGGAGAATCTCGGCGAACGCTCGTTTCTGGACGACGTGTTCTGCCTGCGGATTCTGCAGAAGCTGCCGCACCTCGGGGCCGCAAAGCGCAGCGTCTCGGCTACCTCGTCCGCGACCGACTTTGCTTACGAGCATGACATAAGCGTCACTGAGACCGGAGCGTGGGGCTCGGGGTCGGACGACGAGGCGACCGCAGCATGCAGCACCTCATCGATGCCCAAGGCGGCGGCGGCCAAGATTAAACGCACATTCTCCCAGCACCTGAAGAGCAGGGCGTTCACCGTGACGCGGCGTCCCACGCTGCCCGATCTCAGCCCGCGAGGTGCAGGCCCGAGTGCGTCGGGGGCAGCAGCGGCCGACACGCACAACACCATCTACATGCTGCCCGAGGACGAGGCAGACGAGGTGTTTACGGCCAGCGGTCTAGAGCTGCTGAGTCGCATGGCGAGTGACACCGATCCTTGCGTAGGCGGCACAAACGTCATAGCACAGAGGAGCATTGGCCATGGCGGTCGACTCCATCACACGATCAGCTGCCCTGTGATCAGCCCCATGGATGCATCCGCAGCAGCGGCGACAATGCTGCTCGGGCATATCCTGGGCAACGGCGCGGGCAGGGCGAAGACAGCCCGGGAGGCACTGGCCAGCATTGCTCCGACCGACAGTGACTACCTAGCTGCCGCGAGCACATGCACAACCAGCTGCGACGCGATGTCAGAGTTCCCGCCGGCGTTCTCCGTCACCACCAAAGCGTCCGGAACCTCACCCGCCCTGGGCCGGAGCAGCTGTGAGCAGTCGGACGGCCAGCCAGACTTGGCCGAGGACGAGACGGAGCAGCTGGAGCACGCCCCCTGCAGTCCGTACACCGCATTCCGAGAGCCCAACAGCATAGGCCCAGGCATGGGCTGGTCGGACCAACACGAGTCCGCGGCTGCCGATCACTCGCAGTACCTGCAATATGGGCAGGTCATTGACCCTGTTACGGGCGTGGAAAAGCTGGAACAAGCGCTGGACAACGCCACCGGTCAATACACATGCTACGGGTTTACGCCCGAGCACCTGTCGCAGCAGCAACAGTGCAGGACGTCGGAAACAGATACGGACGACGTGGACAATACTTACAACGTGTACGGAGAACAGCCGAGAGAAGTAACGGCTTCCTCATCCTTCTCTCAACGCAGTGCTGGCGGTGGCGAGGAGGATGATGACGGAAATGAGTTGTCATACACAGAAGTCCGCTCCACACACGGCAACAAGAAGATGCTCTCGGCCAGATCGTCATCGTCCAGGGTGGCCATACCGTTGCTTAGCACTAGCACCGCCGCATCCTCCGGGTTCCACCGCGATAAGCGCTCCAGCTTGCCGCCTTGCTGCTCAGGAACGGACATTGGGTACTCCATGTACGGGCCTTCGTCGTTGGAAGCAATGGCCGCCGCAGACCAGCCCCCCGTGGCGCGGGGGAAGCACTCGTCGCTGCCCACGCGTCACAAACGAGTGCGAGTCCGCCAGTCCAGCCTGTGCGAGGAGACGCTGCATAGCCAGGAGCGCTGCCAGCTCACCACACTGGCCGACACAGCCAGCAGCTCGGGGGCAGCATTAGGATCGCCGTCTAATAGCCTCAATGAACTGGACCGCGGCATACAAGAGCATTCTCGTTTGCCATCTAGCACCGAGTTACATTTGAGAGGCATCGCTGCACGCATCGACAACACCCCTGGTGCTATTTTGGAGAGCGCAGCCAATCACGGTGATAACTTTGCCAATGCGTCTGCAGCAGACGGGCAGCAGACGCACTCAAACTTTCCGCCTGCATCGCAGAACAAAAGACGGACGAGCAGCCCTGCCGTCGTAGTCCCGATAGCCAGCACCGCCGCTGGATCTCCCAGCGCATTTAGCCAGTGGGATCTGCTGTCGATCACCCCTCCGCCCACTGCAGCTGCACCTCTACCCGACGGCCAGTCCAGCGCGACTAACGCGGGAGAGGGCAATGCAGATAACGAGGCCGAGGAAGACAAACTCTACATCGACTTCAACCCCATCCGAGGACCAGCATCAGCAGCAGCAGCAACAACAGCGACGGCGAAGAGACCCGCAGCATTGAAAATCGACGTCAACAACTCTTCCACAGATGACCAGGACGTGATGAAATCTGCGTGCAAGTGCGGCGCTAGCGAGCGGAGGAAGCAAGCAGAGTCGAAGCGGCTCGCCGCCGCGAAGAAACGAAGGCAGAAGACGGCCGGCACCACGGCGGGCAGCGACAGTTCGGACTTCCAGTCGCCCCCGCCGCAGCTCAGCCCCATGTCAGCACATCCTGCTCGGACACCGGGCATGCTGCCCGCACACCAGCAGACCAGCCTCCTCGCCAGTATAGCAGCACTGGCGGCCCAAGCAGCAGCAACCAGGCTTGGCACGAGTGCGCCCGGCCAGCACATCGCCAACCGACGCAGAGAACTCAAACTGTGTCCTGGAGGAGTCGCGCCACACTGCCTTGGCCGACATCAGCAACAAGGTTGCTCCGAAAATGCAGCCTTCAACGAAACTACCAGCAACGAGAACACCTTCCGAGGAGAACAAGCAGGGCCGTGCAAGCAAAGTACACAGCTCCCCCGCACAACAAACAAACGATAAGTCATTAACACCAGGCGCGGAGACTGGTCATGTGATCCACCGTGGTCATGTGATCCAATGTGGTAATGTAATCCACCGTGGTCATGTGATCCGCCGTGGTCATGTGATCCACCGTGGTCATGTGATCCAATTTGATGACACCGAAACCGTAACACAAGTTACAACACTATCACGGCATTCGGGACTCTCTCACACCAACTCTTCCTGCCGCTGGCACCAGCTAACGGGAGACAGCAGACAATGGCTGATGTCTGATACAACAGAGAGATCAATTTCGAATGCCATCCTTCGACCAAGTTTTCAGGATGACGAGTAATGAAATCATGCAGCGATGACATCACAGATGATGTCACGATGCAATGATTACATCAGGGATGACGTCACTGTCAGTGGATAGTGTCCTGCCCGGTAGCAGTGCTATGCTCGCACGTATCAGCCGGTCGGACACTCACTGTGCGGGGGTGCGGTGATGTTTGCATGCAGCTAACATCAACACCTGCGCTCCTCGCGTACACACACAGGTACACACACACACACACACACACACACAGATACAAACACACACACACACAGGTACAAACACACACACACACAGACACACAGATACAAACACAGACACACAGATACAAACACACAGACACACAGATACAAACACACACACACACACACATATACAAACACAACACAGACACACCGATACAAACACACACACACACACACACACACACACACACACACACACACACACACACACACACACACACACACACACACACACACACATACACACACACACACACACACACACACACACGCGCGTACCCATACATGTGCATGCTGTATCTATAAGTATAAGTAGATTGCAGACAGATTCCCAACTCCACCTAATGTTACAGCCCTGAGTCTATACTAGATAAGGACCATTCTTGAGCACGGGTAGTCTTTTCTAGTTCATGACCGTTCCATATGTTGAGCTTGTATTCACGTACACACACGCGTATGTTCACACAAGCAGGCCTCCCATATGCGGTGGCCTGCAATTGTCGTCGGAGCCGACCTAGGCGCATGCTTCTGATTTACTTCACAACAGATGTGCGTCCAGATATTTTATGATTGGTTCTGAACCTAACACTAATGCCACCCTCGTAAGAGTCTAGGTGGTCGCTGTACGCTTTCCCTGGGCCGTTCTAAGGATTCGTTTCATTTCCTAACTTTTTGCTGTCGATTTGATAGGCGTCAGATCCCTCTTTCCTCATTCTTAATTTTTTTATTTTCTCAGCCTCCAGACGCTGTCAGATTCACCCCGTACATGTACCCCCTGATCCCCGTACATGTACCCCCCCCCCCTCTAACCCCCATGCGTGTACCCCCTAATTCCCGTACATGTACTCTCCCCCCCCCCCCCCCCAACCTTCATCCTACATTTCTCTGCTGCCCGATGACGCTCAGCTGCGGTGCATGCCACTGTTAGGCAAGCAATGTCTTGTTGGACAGTGCGTGCTACCAGCAGTAGGACTTTGTGAGTACGCGACCAAGGGTGTTGTGCAACTCGCATCTTCAGCTGTGATACACTGCTGTGCCGTGATAGATGTTTTGCGGTTGTTTGTTTTTCAATCGCTTTCTCGCAGAACTGGGTTATACCAAGAGCCAATCAAAGATAATTATACTGTACAGGGAGAATATTCCGTCGGTCAATAATTTCGTCCAACTCCAAAGAAAGGGAGTTCGTCCTGTTGTAAATTTCGTCCATGGATCATAAGAGTGTTTTGAAAAGCTTAACAAATCGACATTCGTCCGGCATTTAATTTAGTCCAAAAGCTGCTTCAAAAGCTCCTTGGATGAAAAGGACGAAATTAAATTCCTGACGAATATTTCTGCTTGTACAGTAGTAGTATGGAACTGTGGTTATGGGTGCAGTGTGCGGTGCCGCACTGGATTCACTGTGTGACCTGCCTATATCACACCATGTACAACTCATGCACCACAATCAACAATCTCTCGTACCCCTACACGCGGCTTTGCATGATTCGTTCAAGTACAGACGCAAACGCAACGTTTTGGGTGCATGAACTTCAGCTCCGTACAAACGTTAGTTTCAAACCACAGAGAAAGTGTGACACTGTACAAGTAACGTTGATCTCCCCCCCCCGCTGTGTAGCTTCCCAGCTGGTTTTTCGGCAGGGTGCGGGAAATAGATCAAGTCGTTCGAGTGCAGTACGATGCACAACAAAGCTGAAGATCATACCTGGCATGCTGCATTGTGAACATTTTCATCCTGCACTCGCACGTATCGCACGTACAGCAATACATGCGTCGGTTCAACATCGTCTTTCGTTGTATACGCCGACGTCGCTTCACAAGCAGAAGTTCGACAGGTGGCGGAAATTAGAATGGTGGCGGATTAACGGCACTTAACGGTATTAGATTTTCCTGCTGAGCGCGGATGTAGCCAGATGTAGCCACATGATGTAATGAACGTAGCGCACAGCAAATCTGACCTATTCTACGGAGATGACAGTTGCATGCTCTTGTAACGTTATATTAACTCTTCATTTATCATTATACAAGTGGAATCCTTATAATTCGAATCCCAGAATGGCAGGGGAAACCTTCTAACTATCCGGACATTCTAATAATCCAACCATGTACTCGCAACACATCATGTATGTCTAAATGATCACACTCTTGCGCAGAGTTGTGCTACAGAGAGGCAAGCACAAGCATGCAATCTGGTACGTTGCCAGCAATGCGCTGGACAAGACCTCTCACCAACGAGGTCCCATGGATCTGAGATTTTTCGGATGAGAACATAATTTATTTTTATCTGCATTGGCATTTACCTGCTTGTATCTGCAAGTACCAGTTCATGGACTCGGCCATGAGCTTAAATTAAAGAGGCACGCAGAGCCAGAACTTCAACATACATCTACTGAACGAATTCGTTAACAACGAGAGCTTTGACAAACAATACAAACTCAACTGTGCGTGTTAATAGCAGCCTACCCAGCATTACAGTTGACATCAAGTCCATAAACCCAAGCCTTTCAACAAACTCAGTAGTCGTGAGCCCTACCTCCCCGCAACGCTTGTCATAGTCAACGACACAGAACACGCGCACACTCTGTCGCTTGAATTAGGAGTTATTTTACGGCACATGTGACCGTGCAGGTGACGCGGGCGGCTGCATGTAGCAAATTTTAGGCCGGGGGGGGGGGGGGGCGGCGGCGCGAGCCAGCATTAGCAGTCAGCGAAGCGGAGCAAATTGATTTATGCCGGGTATAATTATATTTCTAGTTACGGCAGTTAGGAATTAGAACTGAGACAATACTAGCAAGTGAAGACAAGTCACGATTGTACCACACAAAGGTGCAATACTAACTGGAATGCATTGCTTGGCCTATCAGAGCTCGGCAAAGGAACTGCCAGCTCGACAGACGGAGCACAATTTCGAGCCCAATTCCTAGAAAGAAATTCGAATTCCTAGCAAGGCAGCACCGGGCTAACAATGCGACTCCTGTGGCTGCACACTGATGCATGTTTAGTGGAGAGTGGCAAAGTTACGTTAGCCATGATGAAGTGGGTGTCAGAGTTAACTCTAAAATAACTACTGAGTATGTTTATGACAGTTCTTAGTACGTATCAGTAGCAGAATACTATGTAGCCGTCCACAGCTACTTCATATGCCAAATGAGCAGCGTATCAATTTCAACTCACCACCTTATAATACTGTCTCGGCTGTAGTTTTTCCCGAACTAAACAGCATAAACTAGGTAACAAGCTAGGCCAAACGGAGCAAAACCTGGATTAACTGAGCAAAATTTTGGCCAAATTTGCCTAAGCCAGGCTGAGCATACCAAGGCCACCTGGCTACGCTAGGCAAACCTGGTAATACGTTGAAAAGCAGAGCAAACACCTAGCAAAATTGGCATTGAAACATACAACTTGCGGATTTTACTTACAAATCCTTGTCGGTGATGAAGCGGTTTCCTTCGCTGGCCATTGGTTTCTCGCGGCGAGCCCAGCGTCGCTTCTCAGACTCACTCATCCGTGAAAAGTGCGAACGATGCTTGCCGATGTGCCGTTCCACGTCTTGATCGACGAACGGCATCGCTGGCATGGGGCGGTCGTTGTTGTCATCGGCGTCACCAGCGTCCACGGTGCGAGTGGGAGCGTACACCACGTGTGCACGTGCCTTTGGTCGACTGAACGCAGGCTGCGACGTGGATCGCGGACGGCTTGCGCCAGCCGGATTACACACCGCGGCCCTCGCTCCAGCACTGTACGCATAGTTATCGTAGGATTCGTAGCGACGGTTGAAGTCGCCGCTCCGCAGGATCGTACTGTGTGTTCTGACCGGGAATGTGGATATGCGTTTCACGGGTGCTTCATCAACGATATCATACTCGTCGAGGTCGATCGGCGCTTCGGATGTGTCTTGCTGCGGAGAATCCGTGCTGCACTGTTCGTTCGGTGCATTGGCTGCATTCTCGACACTACTAGTTCCGTCTGGCTGACGGCTGCCACAATGCTTACATCGTAGCACCCTCTCATCTCTGACAGGCCCAGCGTAGGCTAATGGTGGCTGAGTTGACTCGCACGGCATGTCGTCAGGTTTGTGCTGCCCATGCTTCTGTTGTTTGCCAGTGTGTGATGATTGACGCACATGCACACTCTCGCACTGTTCATGTCGTTCGTCCCGGGGCAAGCTCACAGCGCCGCGGGTTGGCGATGGAGCGCTGGTGTGATTCTCTGCGTCATGCCGCACAAGTGCATCGGAGCTACCTCGTCTCCGGTCGCACTCAACTGAGGGGTATGTTGCATCTTCAGCCTGGCACGTACCGCTTGCACTGTGATCAGCATCGCCCTGGTTTGACACACTGATAGCTTCCTGGATGGCATTGGGATCATCCGTACTGGAGAAGGCTTCGTTCACGTGTATCCGTGCCTGGCACAACGGACAGAGTTCATCCACACTCGACACTTGCCGCACACTGACCACGGGGATTTTTGCGCAACTCTTGCGAGAGTCGATCGAAGAACTCCGTTCTGCTGCGGTGCTGGATCTTCTCCCAGTGACTGCATGCTGATCTGCTACAAGTACTCGCTCTGATGTCGCCTCAGCCGCTTCACACACGGGGAGTGAAACGCCATGAGTTCTTTTGTGAACTATTACAAAGTCACTTCCTGACGACACCGTACTTGGAGCAGTAGCAATATTTCCACTCCGGCATTGTTGGGCCCTAACCGGACAAGAGCCGACAATGTATTGATAAGAATCAGGCTCCTCATCCGCGCGTGCTTCCGCCGATGCCACGGCGTCTGCTGCGGCAATCTCAGCAACCCTAACGGAATGAACCGTCGAGCGTTGTCGTACCGGGGATGCAAAGGCTAATGGATGTGACTCTGTGTCCGACAAAGCGGCAACAGCCACTGGCACAACGTCAATTTCCATGGTGCGTCTGGCCCGGCGTTCGGTATTCAAACCGGAGTTGCAATGCCGCCTTGAAACAGTTTCGGGGTTCGCGAATATCTCCACAAACCCATCTGAATCCTCCAGAGTCTGCCAGCAAAGATCAGAAATAACCGCTCGCTCATTGGTGCGATTCTGCTCATGTCCGTCGCTGGTGCTGTTCGGTGTAGGTGACTCTGGCGAGCAGGTTGCCGCTGATGCTGGTCGATCAGGATTTGGACTGTGAGGATGATGGTGGGCATGGTGGTGTTGGGGAGTCGTGCTGCCACCACCGCCAAGGTACAGGCCACGATTCCTGATTAGTACAAACAAGTGGACACACACGCCAGCGAGCATACAGATGGACAGGTTGACACACAGGTTCACATGTACGAGTACAAACACAGGAACAAACGCATGTACGCACATACACACACGGACATACACACGGACACACGGACACACACACACACAAACATGTTGCGACGACTACAGTGAAGCCTTACATGAAGCTAAAACAAAATTCAAATGGACCTGTTCTCTCATATGGGCGCACCAGCACAAGTGCTTGTGCATGTGAACATACGTCTATAAGTACCTGTGTTGACCCCAGTAGAAGAAGAAGTAGCAGCACGAGCAGAAACATCACCAGCAACAGCAGCAACAACAGCAGCAACAACAGCAGCAACAACAACAGCAGCAGCAACAACAGCAGCAGCAGCAACAACAACAGCAACAACAACAGCAGCAACAACAGCAGCAACAACAGTAGCAACAACAGCAGCAGCAGCAGCAACAGTATGAGCAACAGAATCACGAGCAGCCGCAGCACCAGCACCAGCAGCAGCACAAGCAACAGCAGCAGAAGTGGCAGCAGCAGCAGAGGCAGTAACAGCAGTAGCAGCAGCAGCAGAAGAAACAGCACCAGAAGCAACAGCAGCAGCAACAGAACAATCAACAGAATCACGAGCAGCCGCAGCAGCAGCAACAACAGCACGAGCAACAAAATCACGAGCAGCCGCAGCAGCGGCATCAGCAGCAGCGCCGACAGTTGTGCCAGCGTAAACACCCGCTGGCCATAGCTCACCTCGATGGATTGCTTCGATCTCCATCTGACGGAGAACGGTCTGTTGCTGTGCATCCAGAAGTGCACACCCTCCCAGTCTCAGTGATTATCTATGTGATCGGAGATCAAAATGACACAGAACATGCAATGATAAACACAAACATTTTAGAAGTATTCATTAATTTTGTTGAGGGAATATTATTATCACTTTGTAAGTAGTATTCACACATATCCGCCGGATGAGTACGCGTGGCCCATGCAACATGGGGACCCACGAATACAAACCAGCATATGTTCCCTCAGCAATACAAGCAAGCAAAGAGAAATAAGAGCCCAGGCAGCGAAAACAAAGCGAAGAGAGATGAGGACATAGGCGACGAAAACAGTTCCAAAGCGAAGCCAGGGACTGTTGTATGTTGAGGGATAGAAAGGGGAAAAGTTTGAAGGAAAAATGACTGTGGCTTCAAGGACCCAAACCAGGGACCTTCGCTACAGGCCAGCACAATGCGCACGAGTTACTACTCTGGTGATGTACTCGCTGGTGCTACTAACTACTATATGAACTTATGGTCTACAGGTGCTGACAAAACATCTTGTATCACTTCCAATTGGGATTACTGTAAAACATGCAATTTCAGGTGCATTAAAATTTCGGTGCCAGGGACCTGCCAAGTTTCCGGTGTAATGTAGAAAGAATTAGGTGACCAGCATTCCCTTCACATACAGTGCATACTCTAGTGCCTTTAGGTGAAATTTAAACTTAGCCTCCTCGCTTAGACCGTTCCTATTTTCAGGTATTGCAGTCTTTGTGTGTTTCTGAACATTCAAGCGATGCCGACGCGGATCCCGCGGATATTTTTTATATTTTTTATTACAGTCTATGCACAGTTGTTGAGTCACCGTGTAAACATCGTTAAGCTGTGCTTGGTGAAATTCTAGCCTGGCCGTTCTTCGACGCTCTGTTCTTCGACGCTCTGTTCTTCGGCGCTCTGGTCTTCGACGCCCGGCAGTACTGCATGGTAGTTATTGTTGTAGTAGAAATTTTCGGTGGTGTAATATTTTCGGTAATCTCCAAAATCGGCGGTTCGGTGGAGGGAAATTTTCGGTAAACCCGTTTTCCACGTAAGTGTACAAGTACTAGTACCGACATTTTCGGTGCGCATTATTTTCGGTAAATATTTCAGCATCGAAGTTACCGAAACTGAATAAAACACCACCGAAAATTTCTGCTTTTACAGTATACAGTGTGTTGGGTAGTGCACATATACACCACCCTTTGATCCACATCGCTCATCATCGCCGCGGCATTCCAGCAGACGCATGTGTGTGTGTGTGTGTGTGTGTGTGTGTGTGTGTGTGTGTGTGTGTGTGCGTGCGTGTGTGTGTGTGTGTGTGTGTGTGTGTGTGTGTGTGTGTGTGCCAGCATGCGCAGTACCCAGCGTGCAGCATGTCGTTAGCATTTCACTGCCACTAGTGACTTCACTCCCTCGCACCCAGACGCTGATTTTTTTGGAAACACGTTTCTATACTTTCGATGGGAGAATCCGACATCGCAGTGCTTTTCGGCGTGGCCAGGTCAAAGTGTAGAATAGAATAAGAGTACTAAGAATACTAATATCGCATTGAGTGTATTGCTTTATCTGAGAGAGGAGATGTTCGTGCCCTTGAGACCCGAAGTCCGGTTTCCATACGACAACATTTAGGAGTTCTGCGCTCAGCGCTTTTTCAGGGTAGGAATTTCGGGTTGTCCTGGTCGGGTCGCAGCATCGCGGACTATTCCATCTGCAGGGCGAGGAAACTGCAGCTGCACACTATGGCATGGGGAGGTGGGAGTATGGACTTGGTGTTGTTCATTTCCACCTGCCTGCGGCTACCATACACGCTACCATACAAACTCAGTCATAGACAATCCTGTAGTCTGTGCACGATACAGCTAGAGGCACCATCGACACAAAATGTAAGTGCACTGAAATAATTTTATCACGAATGCCAGCATCTGTACACAATGGGCGCTTTCGATTACACGTTTACACAATTCTGGAACTGTTTTTTTAAATTCTGGAATGACCAGAATGAGCGTATCCCGGTTTTGTAAACGAATGACTGGAATTCACAACGCATTTTATTCATGTCATGTTACAAACGAAATTGATGAATCGCAAAAAGAGATCACGTCCACCCTCGCGATCGATCGCGCGCACGTGGACCTAGCATCGCGCACACGCCGGCCAGGGAGGCTCTTCGCGCGCTTGAGTCATGACCAAACCGGTAACACCACCGACAATGCAATTCTGGCGCCAGAATTAGAGAAATTCCGCCTTCTCTTCAGAATTGATGGATTCGACGGAATTGGATAAAATCAATTCTAACGACGGAATTTGTCACTTTTTGTGTAATCGAACTGTGCATCAACAATAACTAATTCTAGAATTGACCGAAATGCGTGTAATCGAAAGCGCCCAATGACGCGTGCACGCGTGCTGGACTGCTACTGCTAGTCTGCAACGCCCTACAACAACAACAATACACGATGTGCAACATTTTCATTCTCTATTCTCTAGGACACCGAGCAGCGCGAGACAGTTCTTTCGCTGATCTTTCAAGCCACGTGCAGCTACCAGATTTACAATGCACTACAAATACAACCCAGTCGAGATACCAGCTGCACGTTGCGAGATATTCTACGTCGCTCTATTTACCTGCTGGTGTTGTTCGTCTTGTAGCTGAACGTTGCCCATTCTTGCTTGGCTGGCTTTAGTTGGTTCGATGTTTGCCACGCAACGCTGTCAGCTCAGGGAGTAGCGTTGTCAGAGTGCGACAGCCGGGTTGCCAAACTCCGCAGCGCTCGGTTCAACTATGGCGACAGGTGTCTGACTGGCAAGGCGAGGAACAACACTGCATGCAGCACGGGCCGATGCGATAGCGCAGCTACTGCATCTGTGTTCGATACTTGCAGAGATGGTGCACAAAAAGGCTATTGCCGAGTACTAGTATTGGGAACGCGAAGCGCGGAAATACACACCCCCGTCACAAAACAGATATTACATGACTTGTTTGTAATGTAATTGTTACTGGCCAAATGCACTGGCTCTGTACGCGTACCGCGTACCGGTAACAAGAATCAGTTCAGAACAAGGCTAGCGTGATCAAGATTCAGAACAAGGGTAGCGAGTACAATACGAGAATCTACAACACGGCGTACATAATAGCGACGGTGTACCCGAGCTCCACGAGGAAAGGTCTACAATCATGTACATTGTACATTCTTGATCTTGCCTTCTTTCTTCAAGTAACTTACTTAGTTAGTTCAAGTGCCAAGTGGTTCTTGGCGTAGATCTACAGTGCGTTTTTTTTTATAACAGACCATTGTCGATTTTGATTTTTTAGTTTGTTCTCATTCCAAATTTGAAATTTTTTCTTCACAGCTGCGTTTGTGTGGGTCTTGGATCGAAGAAAATTAAAGGGGAAGTTAAAGGGGAAGTATACCCTAAAATCAAATTTTCACCAGTTGTAGTCTTCGGGCAGCTGAGTCGAATGGTCTTGGTCCGAGGAAGCTGCGACGCTCCCTTCCTACTTGAATCCCAATCGAACTCGCGCACTTCCACCGAAACTGGGTGACTGCGCCCTACTAGATGGGGATTTGTATGCAAAATGTCACTAAAAGCGCCATTTCGTTCTTATAAAAGCACGGATGACCGCGATTGGCCCATATGTTGTAGTCTTTTGGACGCTGAGTCGACTGGTTTTGGTCCGAAAAGGCTGCGATGCAGCGTTCCTCCTTTATTCCCAATCGAACATGGTTGAACAAGCGGTCACGTGCTCCTGGGTGCCCAAATCACCTGGTCACCGCGCCAGCAGGCGACAACTTTCACACCAAGGTTCAACTCGAGTTCAACTCGAGTGACAGGACTGCACCCAAAAAAGGTCAAACAGGCTAGTAAGTTGTACCCTGCAGGCACGGTGACCAGGTGACTGGTGTACGCAGGAGCACGTGACCGCTTGTTCAACCATGTTCGATTGGGAATAAAGGAGGAACGCTGCATCGCAGCCTTTTCGGACCAAAACCAGTCGACTCAGCGTCCAAAAGACTACAACATATGGGCCAATCGCGGTCATCCGTGCTTTTATAAGAACGAAATGGCGCTTTTAGTGACATTTTGCATACAAATCCCCATCTAGTAGGGCGCAGTCACCCAGTTTCGGTGGAAGTGCGCGAGTTCGATTGGGATTCAAGTAGGAAGGGAGCGTCTCAGCTTCCTCGGACCAAGACCATTCGACTCAGCACCCCGAAGACTACAACTGGTGAAAATATGATTTTAGGGTATACTTCCCCTTTAAGGCAAAAATTAAAATTTCACCAGTTGTAGTCTTCGGGGTGCTGAGTCGAATGGTCTTGGTCCGAGGAAGCTGAGACGCTCCCTTCCTACTTGAATCCCAATCGAACTCGCGCACTTCCACCGAAACTGGGTGACTGCGCCCTACTAGATGGGGATTTGTATGCAAAATGTCACTAAAAGCGCCATTTCGTTCTTATAAAAGCACGGATGACCGCCATTGGCCCATATGTTGTAGTCTTTTGGACGCTGAGTCGACTGGTTTTGGTCGGAAAAGGCTGCGATGCAGCGTTACTCCTTTATTCCCAATCGAACATGGTTGAACAAGCGGTCACGTGGTCCTGGGTGCCCAAATCACCTGGTCACCACGCCAGCAGGTGACAACTTTCACACCAAGGTTCAACTCGAGTTCAACTCGAGTGACAGGACTGCACCCAAAAAAGGTCAAACAGGCTAGTAAGTTGTACCCTGCAGGCACGGTGACCAGGTGACTGGTGTACGCAGGAGCACGTGACCGCTTCTTCAACCATGTTCGATTGGGAATAAAGGAGGAACGCCGCATCGCAGCCTTTTCGGACCAAAACCAGTCGACTCAGCGTCCAAAAGACTACAACATATGGGCCAATCGCGGTCATCCGTGCTTTTATAAGAACGAAATGGCGCTTTTAGTGACATTTTGCATACAAATCCCCATCTAGTAGGGCGCAGTCACCCAGTTTCGGTGGAAGTGCGCGAGTTCGATTGGGATTCAAGTAGGAAGGGAGCGTCTCAGCTTCCTCGGACCACGACCATTCGACTCAGCACCCCGAAGACTACAACTGGTGAAATTTTAATTTTTGCCTTAAGGTGGCTCACACCCTCTGCGCGCGCATCGTTTGAAAAGTGTAGATTTTCAGTAAATTTTTCGGTAGCGATGATTTTTGTGCGATCAATCGTTGTTGTTGAACGTCTTCTCGCTTTTCTGCTATTCTGGCGACCTAGCTAGAACCTGCTGCTAGTGTCCCTCTTCACTCGTTCTTTCTATGAAAGGGGAAGGCAGCACTCGCAGAAGATTTTCCAAGAATGCAATGTCGACTGGTGCTCGTACCATAAGAAGGGAGAAATCAAAGTCCGCTCTTGAATCATGCCTGAGTATTAGAAAATTGTTATTTCAGAACACGCTTGTGTAGATTTCCTGCCATTGCCACTGACATCTCGCGACCTTCAAATATTATAACTTGCTCGATCATCTCCCGCACTGACTGGCAAATTCGTCAGGTAGCTGTGGATGGATCGATTCAGGGAGATCGAAGGTAAATACATCGAAGAACTTCAAACACGTTTCAAGACGCACTTCAAATTTTGTAATTGTGTCTTGAAAATTGTTTAGAACAATTCCACGGTACTTCAATACGCTGTTGAATTGTATCCTCTGCTTGGGAGTCTCGACTGTTTTATTGCTGCATGGCTTTCCTCAACACCGTTCACTGTACATGTATCGCGGAACGCAGATTGGATGGCATTGGAGGTGAATTTGATAATTTGTGACTGTGTCATCAACCAAGTGAGGACATCAAATATCAACAGGGACGCTCCGAAAATCACAAACGCTGCGAAATAGATATGAAATGGTCTTACACACTGGAGGGTATTCCACATTCATTGTGTCATATCTTTAGACTGTCCGAAAGTTTGTCGTGCCGTGCAACTTTCACAGACTAATCCGATAATTGGCATGTGACCCTACTGGCACACACTCATGCGTATGCCGTTGAGTTTATCTATATGTGCACGCACATGTGTGTATACATATACAATTTTATTACGTATGCAAAATTAGGCAATCCACATGTACATATATATGTGTGTGCACTCACTCCTATGACATAGAACGACAGTGCAGGCTATGTAAAGTCGCATGATTGTGTGTCACCCGGGTGTGTACATGCATGTGCGCTCGCGCGGGTGTTTTGTGTGCGCGCCTGGCATGGCATAACGCCGTTCAGTATGACTAGTGTTGAACCGTGGTAATTTGCCTCCACCCCCTCTTTTTTCTGCTGGCGTTGGATATGCAACTAATGACAGAAACTCGGTTGTTGAAAACGAGCGCCATGCACCACAATGGATTGACAATAATTATAATACAAGTAGCACTGTAAAAGCGCTGGTAATACTTATGTTGCAGCCATGGCAGTTGTGAGTAGCTTTCCAAGTCAAGCCTGCTGCAGAAATTATTGCACTCTGACCAGCTGGAGTGGCCCAGGACTGCCGGTTGTGGAGAACAGGAGTGATGCTTGTATATACGCTTGTATTTACATGATGTACACAGTGTACTTCGAAGTAACGTTAGGTGTATTACTTGTGTGTTCTTCTGCCTGTGCGCGTGTACATGTGCTGGTCAGTGTGGAACCGCCATCCATATCAGATCATACAGCTGCTATCAGTCTCAACAGCTTGTATCTGGCAAATAGGGTTTTAGTGACTCGATTTTGCTTACTGTGTTCAACAGAGTGGCATTGCACACAGCTACTTGATGTAATAGTAGCATCTTGGAAATTTTATATTTTTGATAGTTAGCTTCAGTAGAAACTTCTCCAGTGTGGCTCTTAGCTTCATTACCACGGAGACTAAGCATTCAAGTAATGCACGAAGAACAGTGGCTAGATGTGAAGTGAAAAGCCATTGGACCGTACCCCGTGGAATACGCATTTAGTATAGAAGTATTTCTTGCTATGTTGGCAGCAAACACTGTATAATATAATAATTACATTACCAGTAGAAAATGCCCAATGTGCATTGCTTCAGCACTATGTTTTGGACAAAGCAGTCAACAAATTCCACATCACTATCGGCTTCATGTTGGAGAAAGTTGTGAAAAACACTAGAGCATACATGTACACTCAATACACATGCTCACATGTGTGGCATTTAGTATGATGTGGGCAACTTCAAAGTTCTATTTTGGTAGTTTGCTTTGGTAGAAACTGTCTAAACTTGATCCAAAGCTCTACTACTATGTTCTGAAGATGTTGCAATCAAGTAATGTAAGACACGTATCTTCCGCATTGGAGCTAGTAGTGAAAACCTTTAGACCATACACTCAATGCACACGCTCAGCTATGGCATTTAGTATGTGGGCGACTTCAAAGTTCTATTTTGGTAGTTTGCTTCGGTAGAAACTGTCTAAACTTGATCCAAAGCTCTACTACTATGTTCTGAAGATGTTGCAATCAAGTAATGTAAGACACGTATCTTCCGCATTGGAGCTAGTAGTGAAAACCTTTAGACCATACACTCAATGCACACGCTCAGCTATGGCATTTAGTATGTGGGCGACTTCAAAGTTCTATTTTGGTAGTTTGCTTCGGTGGAAACTGCTAAAACTTGATTCAAAGCTCTACTACTATGTTCGGAAGATGTTGCAATCAATAATTGTAAGACACGTATCTGTCATATGGTGGAGTCATGGGTTCTAAGGCGTTGGACAATGTCCTAGTGCAATGTGCTGATTCTTGAAATATGGCATCACTTGAAACTTCAAAGTTTTATTTCACGAGTTACCTTCGGTAGAACCCGCTCAAACTTGCTACACAGTACCATTATTAGGTTATGATAGCATAACCATCGAATACAGGGCAAGTCCAGTGTCAAATACTTGTGGGCGGGGCTAATATGTGGGACGTGTGCGCTGAAATGGGATGATTCCGAAAAGAGAAAAAAGGTCACCTTCTAGCAGAATTCTACCCACTTCTACAGCTTATGCTGATATTTAGCAAGTATACTACTGTCCTGATGTTGGACATCAAGAAAAAGGGGGTAACTACCAGTGCTACGGCCAAAAAAGTGGTTTTCCGGTATTTTTTGGCCTAAATTGGCAATTGTGAGTATGCTATGTTTGGCCCCTCCCGCGAGT